TTATTCAAAATCATATGTATATGAATTAAAAATACTATCTATGGTGTCATAAGTCAATACTAGCATCAGTCTCGAAATTCCTGCAAATCAGAAAGTAATTCAGTAATATTTTTATATCATTTCAAAAATATCACAAATGATAAATAAATTGATTATTTTAATATAAATAATGCATTTAACGATATTCATAGCGACAACGTTGCAACAGTAGCTTATTTAACATACAAAGACCGAATGGATTAAGGCTATCTTGTATCAAGCGACGACAAAAGTCCCATGCTCAAGAACATTATGCATGATAAGTTTAAATAGAACAAGAAAAGAAGCGACTGCCCGCGACTAATGATGACGCATCTGCATGGCACTAAAACCTTTTTGTTTGTGTACCTCATTACTTAACTAACACTTGCACTGAACGGGAGCCGTTAGTTTTAAGAAGCCTTCAGATTACGGTATTAGTGAGGTGACCGGGTCGCTTTTTGTCCGACCGGTTTGAGGTTACGGGCTATTTTCTTTTTGTTTTTTTTTTGTTTTTACTACGAACCGTTTCACGCCATTGGTTTAATCTGGTGTGACAACTAGATAATAATAACTTACTAGTCGCATTAAGACAAGATTTTTATTGCCCATTATGTCGTGTTTTCCTCGCCGAATCTCGGAACTTAGCAATCGCGACGCAAATCCGACGACATCGCCACTTATCGTAATCTTCTTCAAAATATAAGAAAATAATGTTTCCCAGGAGCATGACTCGTGACCGGGGTAAAGAACTCGGGCGGCTCGTATTATGCGCTAAAAATATTTTGTTTTTATCACGTTTATCGCGAGGGCGATGGCTCAAGCCTGATCGTGAGATTTAAAGATATATATACTTCCCAAAACGCATATCAAAAAGGCTGCTGACACCAGCTTAACAGTTAGGTATGCACATCGCGCGCCTACCCACACGGTTAGACCCATAACTTATGCCACGCCTCGAGTAGCCGTTCGAATAATCTATCCACGTGTGAGTAATACTTGAAATTGCAATATCTTTGAAACCTAAGTACATCATTAGGCTTAAAACGAAAAGGTCGCTTGAGTTTACTATCTTTTACGTTAAGGTCAATGTTCTTCTAAACATTGGCATAGGAAATTTATTTTACGTGAAATGTCCGCTCAACGAGACCCGTGTCGAATTTTTATATCGCATTAATCGAGTCATGTCGGAATGATGAAAACAAAGCTTCGAAGATTCTTGGCACTTTCGGGCTAGGGCATTGTTCTTGGCCATAGTGGATGCCAGGATAATGACCCTCCTTATACGGGGACTTTGAGCTCTACCGTACCTATTGAAAATGACAGGAAATACTTTGGCCGTGACAGTAAATACCTATGCAATTCAAAACAGAGCTTGTCACGTGACACATGGTGCATTGACCTATAACATTTTAAGGGCCAAAGTTACGTACTTATTCTGTTTGAAGTCGTATTTCCGTGACTCGTAACCAATCCGCTACGCACGACACCGACTTGCACCGAACTGTATCCTAGTAACGATTTCTGCATTTCAATAATTCTTTGATGGAAACCGATTGAATAAGGGTTTTTCACCATTACTGTTTTACGAGACATTATATATTTTTGACCATTATTCACACTAAACATAGTAATTTGATTAGTGTGTTTCTAATGATTAAAAAAATGTTTTTTTTTTTAATCTGTGTTCCGACGATTACGGTAACGAAAATTTTATATGTACAGATTGACGTCACCACTACAATTATATGGCTTTAGTCAGATATTTAATCATACACCGAAGGAACTACTATTAATTGAAAACTTGAGGTGTACAAATCAAAGATAATTTCCAGCAAATTAACGTGGTTTTTTTTCCAGTTGTCATCTTTATTCTTTAAACTCAACCAGCGTTACTAATAACAAGGTACCGGACGGATGATGAGGGCAATCTAAACCAATCAATACATTTACAGAACTGAGTATAATTTTATCAATGATTAAATATACTGTATATTTGATTGAATTTAATTTAACAACGACATATATGATAACGGGAAAAAATATGCGATATTCTCTGCCATGGCAAAGTTTAATTGTGATCGTTCTTAAGGTTCTGTCAGAATAACATCGGAATCCTGTGAGCGACACAGCAATAAGAATAAGTAAGAAAGGATTGTTGTCGGTCTCATTTATTTTCGTTATTCTACCAGCCAATTATTATTTTTTTAGTTAAATGATGAATGTTTATATTAAAAAGAAAATATCGGTGTCGAACGCAACGTCAAGCATACCTCTGTCATAGCATAGAAGTTTAATTGAATAACACCAAATATTGATGGAAGTACATTATTATTAGTTTCTCGTTATAATTTCCATATTTTTATAAATAAATACAGTCATAGAATACTATAAGACACAATTGGCACAATAGCTAACTAAACTTTTTTACGCTTTAATAGTTTTATTTGGAATATAATCTTTATTTCTTACACTGGAACATAATTTTTTAGACATTTCAAGATTTATAAACGTGTATTCAGTAAATAAATTATTTGATTTGATTTGCATTTAGATATCATTTGACAATCAACAATTACGAGAAAATATTTCATTGACATTTTAATAAGATTTTCCTAACCTTTGGCAAACAGCTGTTTCTATAGAATGGTTAATAAAAGCATAAATTGATTTTACAAAGATTTGCAACGCAAGCGGGTCAATAGAACGCGTTTTCACCTTGACATGGCGACGGAAAAAAATCAATTTGATTTTCATCATAATGACAAAATTGGTTAAAACCACATCCATTACTATGAAAATTCACTATATGCACGTATTTTATATTAATTTTGGAAATCAATAATATAGACGATTAAATTAATAAACTTTGACAACTATTATCAAGGTATGTGTATATGCGTCTATAAAATTCAAAGGACACAAGTAGATGGAGAAATTCAATTTCTGTGTGCGGATATGTGTTCGGTGCTTTATATTATGACCTAGAACTTGCTGAGACCGGTTGTGAGTCACCGAACACAAACTGTTTCCGAGAAGTGTTGAGGTTTTATTACCGTTTCCTCTAGAACCAACAAGACCATAACAATCCACTGAATCAAAAGCCTTTATTGACATCTTGTATACATTTTTTTAAAACAGATATTTCTTTTATTAGAAGAAATGTCAGTTATTTGTTAATAAATATTTGTAAATATGAATAAGTTTTAATTGCCAAAAAAATGGTATTTCAAAAAGTATTTATACATTATACAATTGTTAATGCTACATGAATAATTATCAAATACTATATAAAAATGTATTACTTAATTAATATCCGCTAAATTCATTGAACTGTTTTTTGTTTTATTTACGTTATATGTTTGTAGAAAACGAAATATATGCAATATTTATAGAAAATTCAGAAATTCGTTATTAATTGATAGTATTTAATAGTATGGATTATGTACTTATTTTCTTTTATAAATAAATTTTAGATATAAATTTTAATTAATTATGAAATATGCAGTGGTTTCGAGCACATCCGAACTTTAAGTTACTAAACTTTCGGTTTCGATTCCTAGCTTATGCAATATATTGACATAGCATTAATATTTTTATATTTTTTTAAGAATCTGGGTGGTATTTATACAACAGATATATGTACACATGTTCTCAGCTTTTTTCTACAATATCAAGAAAATATTACGTAGTATTGTTCTATAGCTACTTTAAGAAGCTCAATATGAATGACAGTCAAATAATCGCTTTATTATGTCATTTGAAATCTTAGCTGTTAATATAATGCGCAGCATCCTGTTAAGGGGATCAACCGGCGTTGATTCATAATAGATTTAACTATTTACAGCTTATAGTATTTTACAAATACTACTCAAATGACGCCAGCTCATTGACGAAGACTAATGACCAATAACCTTCCGCACATGTGTTCGATAGTTAGAATGATTCATAATTGTAAGCATATAAACCTAACACATGAAGAAGACGAATGAAATGTACTTTAACAGGTGAGATGTCTGGGCTATATATGTTGGTTGGGTGTGACACTTGTTATGAATGAACGGTGTAGTACACTACAGTCTTTAGTTTCAATAAAATCGTTTTAGGTGCCGCCGGTAGACATTCTACGAAACGTTGAGTCATATAATGTAGACATCTCGCGGATAAGTCATTTCCGATTCCGTATTTTTTAAGATAGGTTTTATCAATAAGATAAAGTAAACAACTATTATTTTCAGAAAAGGTCTTAAAAAGACTATACCGATATTTTAGTAATTAAAAAAACCTGTATTATATTGAATGCGATTTTTTCAAAAATATTTGCTCAAACTACAAACATTCGTTTTTTATTATATCATGTAAATTTGACTCATTCTTTAGACATGGCTCTATATAAATTTTATACAAGAGATTGGACATTAAAAGTACAATTTTTATATTATTTTTTTATCTAAAATCCTATAGCAAATGTGTATTGGTTTAATCATTTTTTAATCAATTTATTGTTCGGTTGGAAATCCACATTTAAATAGTGTCCTATCAGCGATGACTTAATCATTGATATGAGTACTTAAGCTGTCCGGTTGGGCTTGTTTTGAATGACGCTCCGCACATTCCAACGTCGAGATTAACAAAAACAACAAGAAAAGAAGGTCGAGTATCCCTTATAAATTTTTACGATATTTTTATATGTTGATATAAAATATCTAATCAACGCCTGTTTATAGAAGTTAACTTTCAAATTGAAAGTCTTTTGATATAACTTATATATTATTAATTTCATAAATAAATAAATAGAATAGACAACCTAATTACTAATTAAACATGATTATTATAAAATGTTCATCCATGCAATTAATGTTATATTTACTTTTAGAAAAGGCCTATCTAGTTCCTTATCTAGTGTAGTGCCTAATCATATTAAAAGCAAATATTTAAATGGCGTACACTAAAAGCGTTTATAATCTGTTAGAAATACTCACCATCGCCTTGTCAGTGTCACCGAAGGTAGGTGCTGCGCTACTCCTCGTGAAGAAGACCAGCGCCACAACCGCCGTCCAAAGCATTCTAACTCCAACCCTCAAAGTAATAAGCTTCATATTGCTCGTTATGCTCCTTCTATTGTTTCTCAAACTCATTTAGATTCTAGTTAAATTTTTTATCAAAAATATATATCTTCTCTATAAGGACGGATGCGTCATTTACAAAATAGTATATATTCCTCTAGTTCTCCAACCAAAAGTGGTTTCATAATATACTACATTGATTTATTGCTTCGACGATAAGCTACACCGCTATCTGTAACAATGAAAAGTTGTATTATTTTCACAAAATATTTTTTTGGTAATTTTAAGTTTATTGCAATCAAATGATTTAAAAAAAAATTGTATTTACTCTCAATTGCACGTCCATTAAGGTTGAGTGGAGACTTAAAGTTCTAATGAATATTCTAAATTTGAAAATTTGCTTCGGTCATATAAACTAATGACAATTTTAATGGTCGTTGTGCAGCGAGTTAGGGTGACAGCTAAATAATTACAAATTAATAAATTATTAGAAAACATCACATACATTTTTCAGATACCAATTGAAATAGCTAAAGCACGTGTATTATGGAAATCTGAAACAACGAAGGTAAGACAACACCTAGAGCTGATGCTATATCCATTTTCATGACTGGGAATAGAACTCTGGACCTCAGAGATGGTGACATAACGAAAGCGGGGTGCGAACCACTTGGCCATCTACCTCGGTCGTCCAAATTATTCTCTACAAACGCACAAAGCGTTTGAGAGTGAATAATTTTTGCCCCTAAAAGAATACTCCGGTAGGGCAATGGTAAAGACAATCAAGTTTTGGATTGGATTAGCATATAGTTGCATTATTTGGTCAAACAAACATTTATATAAATAAAGAGCTTTATCGCACAATCTTACAAACTACCAATATAAAGATACAGAGGTCACGACTTTTTGATATGACTCATGAGGATGATTCAGTTTTATCGTGATATTAAAAAAAACAGAAGCAAACGTTGAATAATATATTTTTAGGGTTCCGTACACAAAGGGTAAAAACGGAAACCCTATTACTAAAGTTCCGCTGTCCGTCCGTCTGTCCGTTTTTACCAGGCTGAATGTGTCTCGAGAACCCTGATAGACAGTTGAAATTTTCCCAGATGATGAATTTCTGTTAACAACCAATACTAAAAGATACAATAAAATAATGTAGTAGGTATAACAAACTTGATTTTATGCGTTTTTCATAGAATTTAGAGTTAAAACTCTTTGAACGCGAATCAGACTCGTGCTTGGTCATTTTTTATTTTATAGACTGCATTTGTAATGAGTAGAAGTTGTTTCTGTAAATTCCATCGTAATCTTCATATCTGATGCGAGCGTTGATAAGGAACATCAATGCGATAGATTCCGACCTACATGTGGACTTGTCAACCGAGTCTATTATCAAAAAAAGATAAATAGTTTCGTATGAAAGTGGTGAGCCAAACAATAGCGACAACCGTTAATGTAATTTCTGTTCTATTAAGTATTAGAAAAGCTTCGTCATCAAATGTGTCAAGGTGAGACCTCTAGTAGGCGTAACAGGAATATTGAGATTGTTTTTTTTTTAATTGCTATCTCTAGATTTCAAATAATATTTTTGCATTCGCAATGCTATATTGATAATGAGACTTTTTTGAAGGCTTCTCATACAAGTTAGCTGAAGGCCTGTTGTTTGTATTCAGAATAATGCTTATACGACTTAAAAGAAACGCATGTTTTCGTCAATTTAGGATGCAACAGAAGACACTACCTCTGACTCACAAATTATGTATCAGAGGTTCCTACACACAGACGACCTCCGCAGCCGAGTGGGTGACATGCCGGTTTCAAAATGTTGCCACTTCTGAGGACCCAGGTTCGATTCCCAGTCGGATCAATGTAGAAAATTAACTTTTCTATATTGTCTTGGATCTGGGTGTTGTGGTACCTTCGTTGTCTCAGATACTCCACAATACGGGGGCTTTAGCTACTCGTCTTGGAATCGGAGCAATGTTTGTGTTGTTGTCTTATATTTATTGATCTTCACTAATTACAACGAAATTATAAGAACATTTTTTCCGAATTTTCGTTCAAGCTCAAGTTGTCGTAGTTAATTCGTACGAGTTATTAATATCAGCAGTCTCCAGAGTTGCATAAACTGAGGGGTTTCGATCCCGTTCTGATACTGTTGAATTATAGTTCTCTATGCTTAAGATAAAATAATTTTTCTCGATTTTACCGAAACCGAAAGCGTAAATCAAATAAGGTGTCGCCAACAATGTTCCGCTCACCGGAGCGTGTCGAGATGGCGGTTTCACCGACATTGGACTCTGTTAGGTAATACTTAATGCCGTTTACCAAAACATTTTTTTTCCATAGGAAGCTCGAGCTAACCACAGATTGCAATGCAAATTTTGGAATATAATTCGTTAACCTAAATCGATTACTATCTTATGGAATGGTCAAATCGATTTAGGGGATGAATTTTAAGCTTAAAACTGTAATTGTCTTAAGGTCAATAATAGCATATTGGTTGCGAAATAGGTAATAGATACTATCAATAAAAAAATATTCTAGTAGATTTATTAATAACACCTAATTTTTACTTAATGCTTTTAAATATTTTAAAATTATCATACTCACATAAAGTTGATAAGACAACAAAGTGTAAATTATCTTTTACATATAAGTAGAAGGTAATGAGTTCAATGACCAGTTGCAAGTTAATCATTAAGTTCTTATAATTAAAAGAAAACAAATATAAGATTTATCTAACTTTAAAGACAAAATACGAAGAAAGCTAGAAAAAAACTTTAGAGGATATCTTTTAAAGTTTTGGTTTACATATTACTGTGACGTTAGATTATAATACTGTTATTATTTTTTGACATAAGTCCTTCAATTTGCATGATTTGAATTAAAAAATATATGTGTTTTAGACCTTATTACGACCGCCGCAGCCGAGTGGATCTGTATAGGTTCTGGGTTCGATTCCCGGTCGCTCATTATATAAGATGTTTTTTTATATATTGTTTCAAATGATAACTTCGTACGTTTTTTTTTCAATTTACAAGAGCTTTACTTTTTTTTATGATAACGCCGCGTAATAAAATGAATATCAACCTATTATCGCGTTTTTATGCTCGGACTATTAAAAAAACAGAGCTACTTTATTCTTCCTGATATATTCAAGAGAGTACAATTATATATAAGGAGATTGAATTTTTGAAATAGGTACTAGGTAAATTAAATCTACATATATATATGATTTTTCTCAAGCACTAACTTTTTTTTTTTTAAATGGAGGGCAAATGACTGCGCTCCACCTGATGGTAAGCGGAGGCGCAGTCCAAACGCGAGGACAGCTAGTGAAAACAGTACGTAGGTACTGCACTAGCCAACTTCACCTTGCCGACCTGCAAGGTGCTTCTTCACGCCCTGCTTGAAGGACCCCATGTCATAGGAAGGTCTTTATTGTAAAATAAAATATTCGCTCACTTAGAAGTTTACTTTATATTTTTGCATATAAATACTAATAAAACTAGAAGATTAAAAAGGTTATCAACCTTATCTTATTTATGTATGTCCATGTATTTCGCAAACATGTTTTTATAAGCTCAATGGTTTAACGCAATGTAATGAGCAAATAATTCAACAATAAACACAAAGCCTCATAAAGAGCTCACGCAAATCAGAATTTATACTAACAAAATGTACTTTTTAAATACATACTTTATACATTATCGTACTTTCTAAACAGTATCTTATGCATATAAAAAACTTTTCGAAAACTTATTGCATAATGCGACTGAGAACTTTGTTATTTCAATTAGCAATGCATGTTTATTATAAGCAATTGGAATAAACTCAACATTAAAACCTCAACATCTGTGTTATAGCGATGTCACATCAGCCATCTCTAACAGATGCTATCTGTTTTGCATGCAGGCAAGCCCGCCGAACAGGCTCTCTTGAGATGACTTGTGCAGCCTTCGCTCGCCTTCCTACTTCCGGATATTCGGTGACAATACTAATAACTTCAATCATTGTATAACTTATTCATTGTCACAATAACTATTAATACTGAGTTTAGTATCTTAACTGAAATAAACTAAAGTAAATGGATCTATTATTTCAGACAAAAAGGAAGAGGTTGCGAGTTTAACTATTTTTTTTTTCATTTAATCTAGTTTAAAAAAAAAACTCTTTGATGAAAGAAATATTGAAATGAAAGTTGTATAAATTAATAAACGAAATAGTTATATTACATTTAAAAAATTATTGGTTTACTTATGTCACTTCTTACTATAAATCATTATTTTACCCTAGTGTTATATTTATTTGAAAAGTTATAAGTGTAAGCAGTATATTCTTTGGTAACGGGTAAGTGGCTGCATAGCTGGTAATTTCTTAAATTAATAAAAGATTTTTTGGAGGAAATTCGCCAGATGACATTTGTTTTTTTTAAGTTATACTTATCTGCAAGAAGGTTAATATATTCAAGACACTTTGATAAAAGTGGGGTGATAAATAATCTATACAAAAATATCGCATATGGGTTTACTATCGTGCGGGATTCTATATCGTATTAATATTTTCTTAACAATAAGAACGTAAGATCTTTCGTCGTCATATCCAAAACTAGAAATTCTTTAAAGGCGAATTACAGTGTTTCAATTTTCATATTTAAATGTTCAACGTAATTATTTTTTAATTACTCATTCAGTGTCTACACATGGAATTATTCATTTTTCTAAAATTAGTTTTATTATTTTCCGGGTATCTTCATGGTATGGGTTAAAGAGTTTTACCTTATTTAGCTTTCCTCATCGATATTATGTAATCAATTTTGTCAGTAAATGAATGTTTATATTTAATTGAACATATTTATTTATTTATTCTTTGGGAAACAACACCATTTAGTAACACATAGAATACAATTCAATTATGTGGTACAGTTTCAGAAAAACAAGTGATATATTGTAGTTAAATTGTAAAAACTTTGTATTGTAGAAGAAATCAAGAAGTTCTGAGAAAAATCATAATGCTGTTTCAAATATTAAATATTAAACAACATCAGAAGCATTGCTCAGATTCCAAGATGAGTAGCTAAAGCCCCCGTATTATGCAGTATCTGAGACAACGAAAGCACCACAACACCCAGACCCGTGACAGTTAATTTTCATAGAAAATTAATAGAAAAGTTAATTTTCTTCGTTGAATCGAACCCGGGACCTCAGAGATGGCGACCTTGAAACCGGCGTGCGAACCACTCGGCTACGTCAGTTTTGTAATCCCGATAAAATCATTATCATGTTAATTCCTTAGGTATTCATATAAATCAAAACATTAAATCCAGAATACAACTTAGAGT